CTCCTTAAAAGTGTGCAAAGTGTTTTAGCTTATCCAAGAAATAGAGTTCTGTTTTCAGATGATAAGGAAAAAAAGAGTTCAGTTTCCAGTCTGTCCACTGCCTTGACCATTCAGTGATAACCAGAAGGTGCTGCAAGGCATTTAAAGAGAACATAGAAATAAAGATGCAATCTGAAGAACTGTCTATAGATTAAAAAATAATAACAAATATTTTAGCTATAATTCTAAAGTTAAGATTACCTTGAATTTGTCCTGTGAACTTCTGAATTTTTAATTTATTAATCCTATTCAGTTGACATAACAGTGTCTTTAAAGGGTTGCTACATTGGCTAGAGTTGGGTAAAGTAATTTTACAATGTGGTTGAAATACATAGTATTCCCCTCAGTAGTCTTATTTAATTGTCTTATTTTTTGCTGGGAAGCAAGATTTCTGGATGAGATCTGGGCCTTAGAACATTAGTACCCACATATCTGATACCTATGCAGTGTTATATAAGTTTCTTTAAACCCACTGTTGCTCAGAATCACTTGATTAATGACAACATTCCTTTGAAGGTGAATAGCCAGAAACTATGTGGTTTTTAAATATATATATATTCCATCTTGAGTAAAACTGTAACACCTATTCATGATTCAACTTTATTTTGGATAATTCTAACATATGTATGTTCTATTCACTGTTTTAAATGATGACATTCCATTTCCCCATACGTTCTGCTGCTTGTTATGAACTATCAAATGCCTTGGCTTTTGGGAAAACCCAGAAACATGCATTTGATTTGCCTTTAGATAGATAAAACATTTGCAGAATTTTTGTTTCGTGGAAATTATTAGTTGTTCTTGTAACAAGTCTTAGCACCCGATAAGACTTGGTCAAGTAACATTTTAAAAATTCAGTTGCTTTTTTCCCACTGGCTGTTGAATTTTACTCCCGAAATAGTTGTAGTAAATCTTGCTTGCCTGCTGCTCCCTTGCTGTCTTTCCACCTTTTGTTCCATCTTAAAGCTAACTAGGAAAAATCTGATTATAAACAATCCTTATCTTAAAACT